AAGAAACTTGCCTTTGAAGTGAGCAGGATAAGGGTGATGTGGGAGCATATACTTTACATTATAATCACAAATTGCCTCTTTGGGGATTTTTAAAGAAAATTCATATCACTTAGATTATTAAAATAAAACCTCAAGCCATGAACTTAGATTAATGTGACCCTAGACATTGTTGTCAGGAGCTCTCTGTAGATACAAATTTCTCTAGAGGAAGAAATCGTAATCTTAGATATCTAAAAATTCCCATAATTTTAGAGGACATTGAATAGGACAGAGTCAGAATTAACCAAGAATACACAGAAACAAAGTACCATGCAAGAAAACCAACAGAAAAACATCTTTAAAGCCATAATTGGAAATATCAGACAGTATTAAAGAATCACTTTGTTTAAAGAAATAAGAGATCTTACTACATTTGCAAGTAATGGGAAAGTATAAAAGTAATGGCATAACAGGTGTACAAAAAAACTGCAGAACATTTATAAATGAAAGCTACATTATTGTAATTAAAAACACAAACTAACAACTCAGGCAACAACAGATGTTCACAGGGATCCAGAGAAAGCATGCTAGTGGCAAAGAAACTGATGCAGCCACTCTGGAAAAGAGTATGGAGGATCCTCAAAAAGTTAAAAATAGAACTACCGTATGACCCAGCAATTTCACTACCAGGCATTTATCCAGAAGATACAAATAGCTGATTCTGAGGGGCACGTGCACCTCAATGTTTATAGCAGCAATATCATCAATGCTCAAAGTATGGAAAGAACCCCAGTGTCCATTGACTGGTGAATGGATAAAGAAGATGTGGTATCTGTAAATAATAGACTATTACTTGACTATCAAAAATAATGAAATTTTGACATTTTAACAACGGGGAATGGAACTAGAGTGTATTATACTAAGCAAAATAAGTTAATCAAAGAAAGACAGGTATCCTATGATTTCATTCATATGTTAAATTTAAGAAACAAAACAGATAAATATAGGGGAAGGGAAGCAAAAAGAAATAAAAACAGAGAGGGAGACAAACCATAAAAGACTTCAATACAGAGAACAAACTGAGGGTTGCAGGTGGGTGTTGGGTGGGGTGATGGACTAAATGGGCAGTGGTCATTAGGGAGGGCACTTGCTGGGATAAGCACTAGGTGTTATATGTAAGTGATGAATCACTAAATTCTGTTCCTAAAATCATTATTGCACTATATGTTAACTAACTTGGATTTAAATAAATGAGTAAATATTAAAATAATAATAGTAAAAACACAATAGATGGGTTTAGTGAATTAAGTAGAGCTGAAGAAAGAATTAATGCTCAGAAGAATTTCTTCATAATTCAATGCAGAAAAAGCAAGAAATAGAAAATTTGGAAGAGAAGTTAAAGACATGGAAGACAGAAGGAAAAAGACCTTCAAGTGAGGATGGAAAGAAAAGAACACAGATATTATTTAAGAAATGAGAATTTTCCAGAAATTTCTTAGGTGAAAGAAATCGAACTGAAATCAACAGGTTTGAAAAGCCCAACAAACCCCAAACTTTTAAGTACAAAGAAATATCTACCTAAAAACATTATAATGAAACTATAGAATATCAAAAGCAAAAACATTTTGAAAGTATCTAGAAGAAAAAAATACACAGAGACTTTAAGCTTACTTGTCTATTGCCATCTGAAGACAGTAGAACTATATCCTAATATGCTAAAAGAAAATCAGTGCCACCGTCTAATCCTATTCTATAAAAGGAAAATATCTATTAAGAATAAGGTTAAAAATATATTTTCAGAATATCAAGTTTAGAAAGGTCATTAAAGTTAATTCTAAATGATGTACTTGAGACAAAATTTGGAAAATGATCATGAATTTTCAAGGTATATAGTGAAAGAATGATTGGAGGCATATTTGTCAGCATATATCTAAATAATTCTAAACATTAGCACAGGTATGAAATTATAATGTCCAATTGGTTTTAAAAACAGAAGAGAAAATTAAAAATAGTTGCCACAAAGAGTTGAAATAATCATGTAATCCATAAATATAAAAGAAGAAAAAGAAAAAAATATCACAAAACAATTAACTCTAAAATGATGGAAAAGACGTAATTTGCAGCTACTAATTGAGGAATGTCAGAGTAACTGTATTGAGACAAAATAGAGTTTTAAATAATAAAACCTTAACTGAGATAAAGGAGATTGTATCATAATAATAAAACCTTCAATTTACCAATAAAATGAAGCAGTTTTAAATTTGCATGTACTTAGTAGCATAGTCTCAAAATATGTAAAGCAGGGGCACCTGAATGGCTCAGTTGGTTGAGTGCCGAATTTGGTTCAGGTCATGATATTGTGGTTCTTGACTTCAAGCCCTGTGTCAGGCTCTGTGCTCAGAGCTCAGAGCCTGGAGTTCACTTCAGGTTCTGTGACTGACTCTCTGCCCCTCCCCACCCCATGTTCTGTCTCTCTGTCTCTCACAAAAAATAAATGAATAAATAAATAAGCATTAATTTTTTTAAATATGTAAAGCAAAATACAGAGAAAACTATAAGAAAAAATTTTAAACTACTACCATTTTAGAAGAGCTTAACACTCTTCTAAATTAATCCAAGTAGAACAAATAGGGTAAAAGCCCAACAACTATGTAGAGGATTTGGATAAGCCGTTTGTCAGATGGCCCAACAGTTCCACGTTGCCTTCCTGAACTTCAGACTATTCCTTCTTTGCAGGCAAACATTGAACAAAAAACAATCATATATTGTGCTATAAATCAGATTTCAACAAATTTCAGAAGATTGAAATCATATAGACTATTTTCTCTGACGGTGATCCAGTTAAACAAAAATCAGAGCAAAGAGCTAATAAAACATAATCCATAAATGTTTGGAAATGAAGAAACAGTTGCCTTCTAGATATCCCTACTGTATGACTAGCAGGTGCACAAGTTTGAAATGCCCCCTGTGCTCTAAACTACCCCTCCTGTTTTCTCTGTCTTTATCACTGACACTGTTATCCACCTCACTGTATAAGGCATCATTTGTGCTTTTACTGACATTGTCTTACTTCAGGCTTTCAGCAATGATGTTCTCATTTTCTCTGTAACTAGACTCTTCCCTTTAAGTATGCTCCTCCTATCTGCCCTAATATTCTTTCTGAAAGATCAGTTTAGGCATATAAAACCTGCATTTAAAAATTTTAAATGGACCTTGAGGGTCTACGCTAAGTGAAATAAGTCAGACAGAGAAAGGTGGATACCATATGATTCCGGTTATATGTGAAATGTAGCAAAGGAAACAAATAACAAAACAGAAACAGACTCCTTGCAGATACAGAAAACAATCTGGTAGTTGCCAGAGGAGAAGGTGATGGGAGCTCAATGAAGTAAATCAAAAGGATTAAGAGGCACGATAGAAAAAGATGTTAATGATCCACAACACCACCAGGATAAAATCCAAACTCCATAACGTGACATTCAAAAATCCTTGAATAGAATCCCTGCCTTCCTTTCCATCTTTATTTCCTCCAAAGCACTCATGCACCTTTTGTTCACCATCTTTGCTGATTCATTGATACTCCTCTGAACACCACCTCCTCTCTACTGTCTCTTTACCTTTGCATGTATTAGTCTCCTTGCCTAGGATGTTCACTTAGCCACCTCACCATTTCCTTTACATCCTGGAAGACACACCTGAGTATCACATTCCTTGAGATGTCTTGCCTGGTCAATCCTCATAATGTTATTCTCTACTTTCTACCCTAGAATTGTGTTTTGTACTTCAGTTTTGTAAATCAGCTATTTAAATAGCTGTTTATTGTGTTAGATCATAAGTTACATGCAGACAGGAATTTTTTTTCTCACTCATTTAAAAAAATTTTAGCACTTAGGTAGGAAGAGCTCAAATAACTGAATTTATGAATAAAATTTAGAACAGTAAGATAGTTTAAGTATATTTGTTGAAAGAAGCAAGAAGGGTCAGTCAACAGATGGGCAACAAGAAGGGACAGCAGTAGTACAAAAAAGTATTGGAATAGCATGTAAAGAATATTGGAGGGCACAAGGCGCTCCTAAAACCTTTTGCATCTTGATGGAAGGGATGCCAGATAGAGATGTACAGTTTCTATACTACACAACTCAGGAGGGTATCATATACATCTAGTCAAGGATATAATTGTGCTGTGCAGTGCAATCCTGAGTGGTTACAGACAGTTTATTTGATTAAATGAATCCCAGCCTTAGTGCCCAGGAAGTAATTGTTATTTATTATAACCATTGGGAGTCATGAAGTAAAGGATTATAATTTGCATCCTCTATTTAATGAGAAAAGCATGCATGTAACACTTTTCAGAAATCTTTTCATCAAAAACAAAAAAGTTAGCTATCTAATATAGCAAGTTTTAATTATATGGAAAAAAATCACAATTAAGGCAGATAAAAGAATCATTGCATTGCAGCAGAAACCACATCCACCTGTGGTATAATTTGAAAAGTTTGCTTAAGGTTTACCCATGAATATTATGATTTTTACTCAAATAAGTTCAGACCAAATAATTTAGAACATAAATTTATATACTTGGGTTACCTATTTTATTAAATAATGGGCAGTTCAGAAACCAAACTGGGAATTCACTGACTTGAACCAATGACTTTATCTGATTCAAAGTCTCATGCTAATTTGGAGACTGCATTTTACACCTACAACATCAATTTGGTTGCTGACAGCATAAACATAGTTGTGATGCTTTGTTCTGGGAAATAAGTAGAGAGGAAAAAATGAACTCTGCTACTTTCACCTGCTAATATTTTTTCAAGGCAGTGAATCTCATTCACTGCCCACAATCAGTAAATGATGTATCCCATTTACCATCCCAAGCTAAAATTCCTGGTATTGTACTCCACCCACCTCTTATTCCTTACTGTTGTTAGATATGTTCTTAAAAATAGCTTCTTAGATAAGAATAGCCCATGGCTCATTGCAGACCACGTGTTTAATCTGGTTTAACATCTCTTCTGCAGATCCTCCTGCTGTGGAACCTGCCTTCCTGGAAATTCGGCAAGGACAAGACCGAAGTATTACTATGAGTTGCCGGGTCCTGAGAGCCTATCCAATACGGGTGCTGACCTATGAGTGGCGCTTGGGCAATAAACTATTACGGACGGGTCAGTTTGACTCTCAAGAGTACACAGAGTACCCGGTGAAGAGTCTTTCCAATGAAAACTATGGGGTTTATAATTGTAGCATCATTAATGAAGCTGGAGCTGGGAGATGCAGCTTTCTTGTTACAGGTAAGATTCTAAATATTTTGCCTTTCATATATTTTTGATCAGGGATGGTAAGCTGTGTCAATATAGGAACTTAAAGTATTTTGCAAATCCATGACACATACTATGAGCAGTTTGACTGCCATAGTTAGAGCTACTCATTTCTTTTCAAGGCATTTATGTTAGTAGTTAAGACAGTTTATATGTCTATAAAATTATAAGTTTATGTGAATTCAAGCAGATTTGGTGAATGGTTTGGTTATTTTGAGTGTTTAATAAAGTGACAATTCCTAACTAGGTTTTTTTAGATCACACTGCAAATATTAATCCTAATACATATTTTGTTCTGCAAGTCTAAAATTGTTAACCAACACTTGCTTTGGTTTTCTTAATAGTAGAGTGTTTTCTTATTATTTATTTATTAAATAACTCTGAATGTATGGTGGATCCTAATTTTGTCTTGGCCAACCATTGGTTCACAGATATTCAGAGGGAAAGCAATAAAGTTGTATCTGGCATATAATAAATTTTTAGAAAGAAATATCAGTCAAAGCTTTTTGATGTCATTATCTTTCAATGTATTAAAAGAAATATTAACTCTATTAAATCATATGTAAATATTTAAATTATTTTATAATCTATATACTAAGTAAATGTGTGTAATTTTTCAGTTATGAGTTAGGCATATATTAAAAGGATATATTTCTTTTATTTTTCAGTAATATTTCATTCTAGTTAAAGTTAGTCATAATAGTTGGGATGTTTATGCTAGTAAAAAATGAAACAGAAAATTGTATATTATCTGAAAAGCAAGTATAAATGCTTCAAACTTAATTAAATCTTGTTCATGGGTAATATAAATTTTTACTCATAAGTTCTTACCTTTAAGAAAATTTTCTAGACATGAATCACCTTGAGATATTTTTGCTTCCTGAAATGTGATATTAGGTAGATAAAATGCAATAAACTAGCCGAAGAATATGAATATGTCCTCTCTGCTGCATCCTGCCACCTCTTGATTTTACAACCCTTTTATCGACATTCAGTAAGACTTAAAAGCTTTCTACTTTTCTTTCAGTGAACTATTAAAACAGGATGCCTGGGTGGCTCAGTCACATAAGTATCTCACTCTTGATTTAGGTTCGGGTCGTGATCTCACAGCTTGTGAGATGGAGCCCTGAGTTGGACTCTGTGCTGACAGTGCAGAGCCTCCCTAGGGTTCTCTCTCTTACTCTCTTTGCCTCTCCCCTGTGGTCTCTCTAAATAGATAAATAGGTAAATAAATAAATAAACATTTTTAAATGAACTATTAAAACAAAACCAGAAATCCCTAGGACAATGCTACTTACATGATGATCTCACTGCTAATTTTTATCCCTGTGCATATTTACAAGGGAAAGAGAATGATGTCTGTTAGTCTATGGAGTAATTTAAATGGCACAATGTACTTTCACCTTTAATTTATATATTTTTCCCTAAGCCAGTAAGAATCCTTCAAAGGTTGTTGTTTTCTACATATTGGTAAAATAGGACACCTTTTTTTTATTAACTCCCCAAAACAAAAATCCTGCATAAAATTAACTACATGCCTTTATTCAAACTTTTGGACTTATATTCGTTCTAATTTGTTGCTGTTGACACTTTAGGCTAGTTTAGACAATGATGCTTCTGTAAGATTTTCATTTGTTCTCTATTATGTGACCCAAATCTTATTTTCTGAACTGGATGACAAACTGAGACCAGAAGGAATACTTTTTTCCAGTAAAAACCATTTCCCATTCAAGATCCATGGGATATAGTAAGTAGATTTTGGTAGCTCCAGAAAGGAATAAGCCTATTATGGATTGTCCCCACAAGCGAGAGGAAATAGCTCATGAACTAATTTGTTTCCAGTGTGCATTTCTCTGCCTTCAGGTCAACCTCATTGTTTCAAGATTCCAATATGTAGTTTTCCATATAGTTTTCAAGAAAAAAAGAAATAATTGAATTTCAAATATTGTGTAATCCAGGAAAATACACATTTAACCCTTGAACAACAGAAGTTAGGGGCAAGAACCCACAACATGGTAAAAATTTTGTATATAGTTTTTGATTCCCCCAAAACCTAACTACTTAAGCCTAATGTTGACCAGAAACCCTACTGAGTATATAATCTATTAACACATATTTTGTACTATATATATATTATATACTGTATTTTTACAATAAAGTAAGCTAGAGAAAAGAAAATGTTATTGGGGAGCGTGGGTTATTCAGTCAGTTAAAACTTCAACTTTGGCTCAGGTTATTATCACTCAGTTCATGAGTTCAAGCCCCATGTTGGGCTTTGTACTGACAGCTCAAAGCCTGGAGCTTGCTTCCGATTCTGTCTCTCCCTCTCTCTCTCCCTCTCTCTGCCCCTCCCTCTCTCTCTCTCGTGCGCGCTCTCGCTCTCGCTCTCTCTCTCTCTCTCTCTCTCAAAACTAAATAAATATTCTTTGAAAAGAAAATGTTATAAGAAAATCATAAGAGAAAACACATTTACAGTACTTCACTATATTTTTTTTAAATATCCATGTAGAAGTGGATCTGCAAAGTTCAAACCTGTGTTGTTAAAGGTCAATTGTATAAAGAAATCAGTGATTCCATAGAATTAGAGGTCTAGAAAGAACTATGAAAAGGCATTTATTTCTTCTGTTAAGGCATATCACAATTAGTAATCCTTATGAATTTGCCACAATTCAAAACCCTTTGAAACTACACAGAAGGGAACTTAGGAATAGAATATATACAAGGGTCTCTATGATCTTTCTGCATATATTGTTTATCCACAAAGATCTTTGAAGACAATTCTATTTACTTCCTGACCGCCAAATTAACTAATTTTATTATTTCACCTGTTTTACCAAATTCAAGATCACTCTTCCACTAGTCATGAATGTTATACAGTCACCCGAAAATGAACTTGATCTCACTACACATAAAAATTTACAGAATTGAACTAAAAGTGAATGGCAGTCCTCACATTTATATTTACTTTAGCTCCCAGGAAGGCTAAAAATTTCACACCTCCTTTTCCCAGTTATATCATGTGTGTGTGACTTGTGTGGGAGTATGGAGGCCAGTGAGTGGGGTTGTGTTTGCTGAGAAGTCAGGGTGTGAGAAAGTAAGATATTTTGGGAAAGGAGAATGGCTAAGTTGTAGTGCACTGTCCATGTTAGAAAGTATTAATGATAATACTCCAAAATCCTGTGTATTTTCATTTATTTTATTTACTAATCGAGTTATGGTAAAGGTAAGCATAGTTTTGTTTATTGTTTGTTTGTTTTGTGGATTAAGTAAGCTTTGTGAACAATGGTAGAAAACCAAACACTTTTTCTGTGAAGGAATTTTTACAAGTTCCAGGAAGTATATATATATAATATACTTCATATAACAGTATATACTGTTATATAAATTTAGGCTTGTAAACTATTTAAGAATTTGATCAACAGAGACAATTTGAAATTCTTTTAAATGACAGCTTTAAAGGAGTGGTATCTTTTTCAACAGGTAACAGTGGGTATTCTATAAGAATTTTTATTGCATAACTACAAGTTATAATTAAGCATAAAACAACCAGTATGTATTGTTTCTTTACTGATGAAAATTTTGCAATCATCTTGAAAATATTTAACATTTATTGTGTGCCTAATTTCCTACGTGTCAGAATAGACACCAGAAATAGAATAATAAATACTCTCCTAGAAATCTTCCACTATCAAGTCAGTTTCTAAGTCTTCTCAGTTTTATCTTTGCTTCGTATTTAGAATCTATCATTTTTTTAAACTTTTATTCCTATTATATTTGTAAAGCCATATATTCTCTTATCTGAGAAAATATAGTAGCCTTTTATTTGAATTCTGGATTTCAGGCCTCTTTTCCTTTCAATCCATTTTCCATACTGCAGGGCTTTATTTTCCTAGAAAATATATCTTTCTTTTAGTGACAAATGTCTATGCTCTTCATGGTCTTATACAGGTGATACATTAATTCAGTGTCGTGAATTTTTCAAACACTTCATTAATATCCCAAATGGAATATACAGAAATATATCTCTTTCAGTCCTACCCATTACTCCACACTCTACTCAAATTAGATCATGCTGCTTCCCACCAAGTCATTACACATTTTCAAGACTTAATGCCTTTGTTCATATGTTACTTGACTTTGAAATACTAACCCCTTGTATAATCCTCTACTAGAGTAATGACAGCACTTGTATAAGCCTTTACCAGGGTCATTTTGACCTTTGCTCCTCAGCCAAATAGAGATATATAGGTTGTAATACTATATTATTTGGCAATCACAAATTATGTGTGTTATTTGTCAAGTATCTGAATATATGTATAAAACTTCAAGTAACCAAGATTTGAACAAGATAGAAAATTATTATACTCAGGTTAAGCTTTGAAGTATCATTTCAGGAACTACAACAATGGCTTTTCCACAAAGTCTTTCTACAATCTTACTGCTCAATTATGATCAATATATGCCACATCTTATAGCCCTAATAGCTGTTGAAGTCCCAGCTATTACTTCTACATTTCAGTGTGTTACGCCTTTTTAAGGATACTTCCTTAAAAAGTGGTAGTTTTAGATACCCTTTCTACTTGAAATTTGTTGGAGACAACTTAATTCTATTGGTGTATCTGCAATAAAGGCTATGGCTATTGATTTTATTCTAGGAAGATTAAATCACACTTGCATATACACATACATTCATAAATATATATACGTATATATATACCTACATACACACATACATATATGTTTTAAATTGCCTTAGTTGAAAATATTACAATGAAGTTAAATGGAGATTTTCAAGGACAGGAAAACGTAGAATCTAGGTTTTATTTCTGTAATACTAAACACCATTACTGATAGTCAGCTTCTCAGGAGAAAGGACCATTGGACTCAGAATAATTTAAAAGACAAGAATAGGTTTAATCATAGACCTTGTGAGATATTTTATTGATGAGCAATGGAATTGAGAGTGCTATGTA